TTACGGGAGAAGGAATCAAACCATCGAAGGCGAAAGTGAAAGCGTTGCAAGAATGTGGAGAGCCCAGTTCAAAAGAAGGAGTAAGAAGCTTTCTGCAGGTGGTGAGATATATGTCTCGATTTATCACCAGCTTTGCCCAGATTGCCGCACCGCTGCGACAGTTAACGAAGTCAACCTCAACCTTCCATTGGGGACCTATAGAACAGGAAGCTTTCGATAGCTTGAAGAGCAGTTTGACGGAGCAAACAACCCTTTCCTACTTTGTTCCCGAAAGACCGATAAGAATCTACGTAGATGCCGGAAGAAAACAGAGAAATCGAGCAACGTTCCTGGAGGACTATGTGCCATTTTATGCCAGCAAGATGACGACGGACAGTGGAAAATGTGTCACGTAGCCAACCGTGCCCTAACTGACGTTGAGACAAGATACGGACAGACTGAGTTAGAAGCAGCTGCGATCAAGTTTGCTTGTGCTGACGCCCTTTATAAGTACTTGGTTGGAGCGCCAAAGTTTGAAATCTTTACGGATTGCAAACCGCTTGTACATTTCTTCAACAATCCAACCTCAAGAGCACCACTTTGTATCGAGCGACAAATTCTCGCCATTCAAGGTTTAGACTATGTGGTCAAGTATCAGAAAGGAGCTGAGAACATCGCGGATTATGGATCAAGACCCCTTCCCATGGTGAAGTCCGTAAACGAGTTAGAAGAAGGATTACGAACTTCTGTTTCTGAAGACAACGAGTACCTTTCCAGAATGGCAAAAGACGTCAATTGCAATGATTACCAATTCCTAAAAGAAGTAATTCAAAGCAACCTCCGGAAGAAACACGGAAAAGACCCGAGAGTTTCAAGATTCCTTGGAATAGCGTCCGTCTTATCTGTTGTTGGAGAAATCATCCTGTGTAAGGACAACGTAATTCCACCTTTGAGCAGTCGAAGAAGATTTGTTGAGAAAGCACACAAGATTGGGCTCTCGGGAGAGACCCGCACGCTGAAACTTCTTCAAGAAAAAATTTGGGTTTCCTGGAATTGTTAAACTCTATAAAGAAGCTGTACAGAATTGTCAAAGCTGCCAAGTCACTCATGATCGCACTTATGACGAGCCTTTTCAATCAACACCATTGCCACCATTGGCATACAGTCTCTGTGGATTTCAAGGGACCATTCAAAGATGGAACTTACGCCCTGGTCGGATACGATCTTTACAGCCGTTATCCTGTTGTAAGCTACTGCAGATCTACAGCGTTCTCGTGTGTGAAACCGATCCTTGATTCGTGGATTTCAACTTTTGGTACAGTGAAGGAGCTGAAATCAGATCGAAGACCTTCATTTAACGGACATGAATTCAGTGCATATGCTCGCGAGAGAGGATTCATTCACAAACCTGTGAAACCCAGACATCCGAGAGGAAACGGTGAAGCTGAGAAATTTTTGCAGAACGTGAAGAAGATGGAGAGAATTGCGAAACAAGAAAGGAAAAAATATCGCTGTCTCATTGAAGGAATGTTAAATGCTTACGGTGCCACACCGCATCCTGCTACAGGGAAAAGTCCATTCGAGCTCATGTTTGGGAGAAAAATGCGACTTGGAGTATTGCCAGAGATCTCAGAAACACCCGAACGTGATAACCACCCTGAAGTTAGACAAAATGATGCCTTGTATAAGTTGAAGTCGAAAAGATACCACGACAAGCGCAGAAATGTGAGAAAGTCCAGAATTTCTGTAGGAGACAAGATTCTCATGAAAAACAAGCGGACAGATCCACTCAGCCCGATTCCTGGTAAAGTGGTCAATATACGTGGAGACAAGTCACATTTCAAGATTGTACGAGAGAGATCTTACGTCGAAGAGCGAGAAAGAGTACGAGGAGAAGAAACGTTTCAAGACAACATACTCAACCAGAGCAGAATCGATCAGAGTATGCGAGACGTCCTGACAGACCAGATTAATCGTGACGAAGCAGATCAATTGATGAATTCACACAAGAGCAGCACTAACGATCGGAAACAGCCGATTTACGTGACGCGCCGAGGTCGCGAGGTTTATCTGCCGGATCGATTCCAAAGTTGAGGAAAAATGGAATGTTGTGAGAATATTATGAACGTTTATAATATTAAGAACTCATTAAGAACTCATTAAGAACTCATTAAGAACTCATTAAGAACTCATTCAGTTGGAACTTACTAAGTTATGTAGCTGATTATGCAGTGTATTCTTAGCTAGATTATCTACTATATTGTTATGTTAATAAAGTGAAAAACCCATAAAAATAGAACGCTATTTTTGACTTAGATTAAATATACTGTGTATGTAGTCGAAAAAAGTACGTGTCAAAAATACATCAATGCAATTTAGTGAAACCGATTTTTGAGTTTATAACAATCTTAGAGTGTAAATTCCTCAATAGCGAGATTTTGACCTTGAGGGGCCAATTCCAAACATTTGCCAAAATGTCTAACGCTGGATGAATGCGGGGGTGGGGGCATTGTGGAATTGAGACATATACATGAAAATATATAAACATTTCTGAAGCAGAAATTACAGCAAAACTACAGCAAATTACATGAAACGAAACAGGTTCAACCAATTATAGGAACACAAATTATATAAGAAACCACAGGCCGGGACTAAATAAACAAAGTGAAGTAGGGGATTGAAAAGGATGCTCTTATATTACTAATATGAAATATCAAACATGGCCATTTAGCATATTTTATATACTTAGCTATAGTGGCGATGAAAACCGAAATTTCACATTGGCACAATAAATTCACAAATTCACGATAACAAAATCTAATGAACAACTACCTAATAATTTTTCTAGGCCATTTTCGAACATCAATTTGAACAATTTCGGCTAGTTTTAATTAAACGCTTTACAGTTTAGAGTTATACACTGTAAATTTCAATATGAGCATGAATGATCACACCATCACAGAATATCCCGAGTTTAATCGCGTCTGTACGAAAAGCAAATACAATAAATTACTGAACTTTACCGTCTTCTTAGATTCCTTAATCTTTAATCAGGATTTCTGATAATACCTAACGATGCCGTAAAAATATGAAAACTGCAGCTAAAAATTTCAACTCTCTTCTTGTATTTGTGTGTTTCGAAATGACCGCAATGCCTATGCTCCTAGCCGAGATGCACTACGCGCGCCCTCGAATTTCTCCGTATGATGGCCGATGTTTGGCCGATGTTTGGCCGATGTTGTGGCGAGAATATGCCACGTAAAAGGCAAGCTCGAGATTTCAATGTTGATTTAAATAAAATATAAATAGTCCAGTTCAACAATGTCAATGCAAGAAAAATTCAATCTCTAATTGCATTATTACATGGCCTTCACAATACTCCTATAATATCCGCTGTTTTGAGCCGTCGGTATCACTTCGAAAAACGACGTTGAAATGAAGTTGACATATGCAATATGGTCGTCTCAAAGACGTAATTAATATTTCATATCAAATTTCCTTATATAAGACCCTATACAATACCACAACAGTAATAAATATATTTTCGTATGTGGTCAAATATTGTGTTTGTCATATTTTACCTGACGTTGAAACAACGTCGAAACAACGTCTGTTTTGAGACATCGATATCACGTCGGTGAAACGACGTCGAAATGAAGCTGATATAATATGGTCGCCTCAAAGACGTGACAAAAATTTCATACCATATTCCTTGTATGACATTCGCAATACTACAAAAACATTTTCCTATAAATGCAGTCAACTATTGTGTTTGTCCGATTTTAGCTGACGTTGAAACGACGTCGAAACAACGTCTGTTTTGAGACGTCGATATCAGATCGGTGAAACGAATTCGAAATGAAGTCGTTTAAAGGTAGATCGACGTCGCGACCGAAATTCAACCAAAATTCGACGTCGAAACAACGTCGCGTGCTTTCTGGGAAGAATGGTGTCTCTTTTAGACAAAAATGCTATTTTTTGCAGAATCCCTGCAAAAAAATATTATTTCGATTTGCTAAAATGAAATCTTCGCACTTTTAGGTATTTTTTCTAATTTTTGCACAAAGAAAATAGTTTGGAATTATTGAAAATAGTTTGGAACGCGGTTTTCATCATCCTTTTTACAGATAGGAAAGACTTTTGAATGTTGTATCTTCGCTTGGAAATTCACCCGGTGTTTTCTTTTTATGCTGATAGCCCGCCACTGGATTTTTAGAATTATCCGTACCGTCCCAATCACCTTTTAACCTAAATCCTAATTAACCAAATTTTAAAACATACTTACATTAAATAATTTTGTGTTTTTAATTTAAATCAAGGATCACACAAGAGGTTTTTTGACAATACTTTTATTTTAGCTACGTTTCGGATGGTTTACTATCCGTCCTCAGGCTAACAAATTGTTCTTACATTTGACGTGTGCAACTTTTAAACGTTCATCTTACGCAAGCTAATTTAAATTAAACTGCGTGCGCGCACGCGCGCGCTCGTTTTCCTTAATAAAGTATTTGTTTAATATTGGTCTCCAAGTCATCAATGATTCAAAACTGTTTAAAACTTTCTTTTTGT